TAGACAACACAGGAGGCCTGTAATTTTAACTTTGTTATATTTTTCCATGTCCAATTACAATTGTCTCATGAGCTATTTCTATTGTTGCAACTTTCAGAGCCTGCAGAACATGCAGAGCTTTAAGAGGTTTTTCCTAAAAGGATCCATTTCCAACTTTAGTGTTTACCACGTGGTCTGTACTCGGGCTTATCACAGATGGTGTCCCCTATATCTTCTAATGAGCTCTTGTTACTTTAAAATGTTTTTTCCTTCTTTTTTCTTTTTCAATAAAGCCAGGTCGGATTCATTAAAAATGTAAATTAGTCTCAAACTTTAATACTTCACCTGTGTTTCACGATAAAATGTTTTTGTTGCTCATTAAGTAACACAGATACCATAGGGTAGTGCCTATCCCAATAAACGTACTCCGTTAGCCTATCTTCACTACACTGAAGCCATGAGTTTTGTGAAGCGACCACTCATTTGAGAAAGGACCAAAATCTGTCACCTTATGTTTTGTTTTAAACACAGGATTTGTTGTCCCTGAATCATCCAGAATTTTAACTTGTACACCACAGATTGTTAGCGTATATTACGGGCATGAATTATCTCTAAAAAGTGCCAATTGCAATTTGTTCTTGTTCAAACTTACATGAGCGGTCGCTTTGGTGACGAATGTGAACCCGGGTTTGGTCAGTCGCTCGTGTTTCCTCCACGCCCGCCTCTGCCGTCCTCTGGCCCCGTGTGAGCTTGAGCGGTCCTCTGCCTTTAACGCCTCCTCCGGTGACAGTCCTTCGACACATGTCGAGCACACAGTCTTTCCGCCGGGCTGTGGAAGTTTCTCAAAGTCCGCAGGAGGCCCAGGTAGCCCAAAGCGTTCAAATAATGTTAGCCTGTGGTCCATGAGGGTTGGTTAATAACCAAACGTGCCGGTCCCAATGGCTTCTTCTGTTTGCGGTGCGGGGGCAACTTTCAACGAGGTTTCAGCGGGTGCGTTTGGTGTTTCACGCTGCCGCCTCCGTGGGGAACAGTCACGGGATTTGGAGCAGTTTGTCTCTGGCCTCCAAAGCAGTTGTCGGTGTCTCACATATCTGCTTCCGCCGCTTCTTCTTCTACGGTTTCCTGAGCGTGTATCTGCTTCCGCCGCTTCTTCTTCTGCGGTTTCCTGAGCGTGTATCTGCTTCCGCCGCTTCTTCTTCTGCTCCCGGGTTTGGGTCCACTTCTCGCGGGGTCTCAGCTGGTGCGAGCGCCGCCGTGGTTGGGGCGTGGGGCTGGTGCTGGTGCTTTGAGGCAGAGGACAGAGCGCGGAGGAAAGCGCCGACAGACCTGGATAAGGGAGAGGAAAAGGGGACAACAGTAGTCTGCTCATTTTTTAAAAACCCAACGCCTTGTTTGGGCGCGTACTTAGCATGGAGTTCTGCTCCTTCTGTGAAAGGGTTAGTAGGTGAGAGAGGGCGGTAGGGTGGGGGGTGTGTGGGATGTGTGTGTGTGTGTGTCCGCCTGTGTGTCCGCCTGTGTGTCCGCCTGTGCGTTCTCCGCTTCGGTGAAAAGCGGAGGAGCTATTGTTTTTACATATTTCTTTCTCTAACGTCTTTTGCCGTGATATTCTTAAAACCAAGTATATATATATATATATTTTTTTCCTTTCTTCTTCTAAATTATCACGCAAGATGCGTAAAGCACTCCATAGCTTTAGATCCGAACTGTTTTCCCATTGCCATTGTAACGGGGGACGTCAACATTCCCCTCGGTGTGGCATCTCTAGATTGATTTTTCCCCATTTTCTCGTACAGAACAATGGACCTAACCCGTTTAGTCTCTCCCTGCTCTTACTCACTTTGGAGCGCTCCGTTCCCCCCCCGTGGGTTCTATATACCCAACGAGCGCGCGTTCTTGAAACGGAGCGGGCCTGGCTGAAGGCACTAGAGCAGGGGTGCTCAATACGTCGATCGCGATCTACCAGTCGATCGCAAAGGTAGTATTGGTAGATCGCATTAAATAAATAAAAAATTACACATTCTAAACAAATATATACAAAAAACTCCGGGCAAAGTGGAGATTTTTGAAAACTCCGTTAATGCATTTGTGTGTAGACAGAGATAACCGGAGTTTTGCGTTCTCGCACGCCACAGTACCCCCCTAAATTCCTCTGATCACTGAAGCATGGATCATACTACCTTAAAAACTGTTCGCTGTGAGATGCTCGCAGCAGCAAACATCCTCCACATCAGAGAGCAGCAAAGTGATCGCGGGGACTCACGCTCGAAAACAACCAAACCAGGACTAAACCAGGACTAAACCAGGACTAAACCAGGGCTGAGGACGGGGTCAGTGCTTGTAAATATACGTCTTACTCTTTACTCTGAGTGTCTTCTATGACTGTAAAAGTGCCGTTACCGGCGTCTGCATCAAAGCTCCGCCCACTTCTGTGTTTTTCCCCAACGCAGGACAGGACGTAAGAGACGCACATGTTTGGAATGTTACGAATGTGATTGATAACGCAGATGTGTGGATGCAAATTATTGTATAAACTGAGGAGGGGAAATATTTGGATTTAAAAAAAACAGGCATGGCACATGGACATGGCACCACAGTCAAATGACATCTGTGTTTTACTCAGTAATGTTTTACTGACACTTAGGTGACTGCACATGCGCAAACAACCGCGCTCAGGGCAGGAAAGCTAAACCACGATAAACTTGTCAGCGAGTTGCCACCAATTTTCCGGACTATGCATCCCTGGCCGATTTAGTTCAGTGCAAGTCATCAGAGTAAACTCGGGTAATGACAAATTTACATAGGTAATTGTGTTGTATTGTGCTATATTGGCTCATGCGGTTTTGCATGTACATAAACATACATTGTAGATATAAAGAATATTTTTTGAAATATATGATTTGCATTTTTGTAGTAGGTAGATCCTTTTGACTTGATCCTTTTATAAGTAGCTCGCATGCTGAAAAAGTGTGAGCACCCCTGCACTAGAGATATCTCCAGGGTCGCTTACTGAGCGATACTAACGCGCAGCCGCTAGCTTCAATCTAGAACAAAATACCCCAAAAAATCCCGCACACAGTCTATGCTGTGGCAATGAATGAAATACCCCAAAAATACGTAAATAAATGAAATCCCCGTGTACACTTAAGTGCTGCCCTGGGCTTGTTACGCAAATGAAAAGACAAAACTCACCAAATCAGGTTCTTTTTGGTCTTGTGTGGCCAAAGATTCTGTTCACGCGCAGGACGAGCGCGCCCTCCCTTTGTCTCCAAATAGAGCAGAGGCTGGTGTTGTTCCAGGTCGGCCAAACGCAGCCGCTCGTCCCCGCCGAAAAGATCCAGGCCAAGACATGCCAGCAACGCCAAATTGTTGTAGAATTACATACCCCAATGAAGGAGAAAGCTCAAAGGTATTTGTCTTAATCAGGAGCGTAAGTTTATTGTACACACGTGCGGAGAGCTCACATACACAAAGCAGCGTCCATAAGCTCTAACGCGGCCAGACCAGGTTCCTGTTTACATAGACAACACATGAAAGACAGTCACGCCCACAAAAGATGGGAGGGGGTCACCAGTACAGGAGGCGCATCCAGAGGCGAGGCGCCATGCCCGTGGGGAGGCAATCAGATTGGCTATGGAGATGCAAACAGAGAGACAATGGACATGCAGGATGTAGAGATGCAGACATACAGATGCAAGATGCAAAAGGGACAAGGGTGAGACAGTCATTGTCTGTAGGTGCGGGGGGAAGCCCGGCTCCTTCCTGCAGGTTAATTGAATCTAGGCATCTAGGCCCGAGTCTAGGCAGCTTGCCATCACAGTCTATACATAAGTTACACAGTCTATACATAAGTTTCACAGTCTATACATAAGTTACACAGTCTATACATAAGTTACACAGTCTATACATAAGTTACACAGTCTATACATAAGTTTCACAGTCTATACATAAGTTACAGTCTATACATAAGTTACACAGTCTATACATAAGTTACACAGTCTATACATAAGTTACACAGTCTATACATAAGTTACACAGTCTATACATAAGTTACACAGTCTATACATAAGTTTCACAGTCTATACATAAGTTACACAGTCTATACATAAGTTACACAGTCTATACATAAGTTACACAGTCTATACATAAGTTACACAGTCTATACATAAGTTACACAGTCTATACATAAGTTACACAGTCTATACATAAGTTACACAGTCTATACATAAGTTACACAGTCTATACATAAGTTACACAGTCTATATATGTAAACGTATTAAATATACTGGCATGACAAGGCAATAATTTGCAACAAACGAAATCAACCAAATCTCACCAAGCTCCACTAACCCGTCTTTGGTCCACACACACACACACACACACACACACACACACACACACACACACACACACACACACACACACACACACACACACACACACAGACACACAGATACACAGACAGACACACACAGACAGACACACAGACACACACACACACACACAGCAGACCTTGACCTGCAGTGCCATCACTCCCTTCACTCCCTCCTCTTTCACGCTACATTATGGAACAGCTTTCATCTAGGTATGAATATTAGATAATTCCTTTGAATAATACAGGGAGACAGTATGTGAAGAATCTGCCAACATAAGGAGAAAAAAACGAGTCCCCTCACAGACACTTTTAAAATAGTCCAATAAAAATGACATTCTCGGGTCCAAACTGTTCCATTAAATAAATGATTGTGTTAAAGTGCCAGCTGGAGTGTGCGCTGTGGCCGCTCTTTTATTCGGCCGGAATGGGCTGGTGTCTTGTACTTCCTTTAGCTACGGTGTGTGCCTCAAGGTTAGTCCTCCTACCTCAGGGTGAACTCGCAAAGTGAGAGCCCAGCCGTCCGTCTGACAGAGTGGATGTGAGATTTGAGAAGATCACTGGTGTTCTACAAGCGTTCAACCGTCTGCTAAAAATCTGCTGAAGATTTACTCAAGCTTTGATTCAGTTTGTCGCAGTGATCCCGGGAAAGATGGGAATCAAGGAGAGAACAAGGTAAATATTTGAAGACTTGATCTTGTAAGACAGAGCTGATGTTTACATGTAGGAAGATTCACATATTCACACTCACCCACATTTACCACTGAGCCCTTTAAGTGCGGCGACACATGGCTCAGTTGGTGGAGCATCAGTTCCTTCCTGCCTAACAGTCTAGGGTTAGATTCCCCCATGAGACCAACCAACGACCCCACTGATGTCTGCTGTGGTTGTGTCCCTGGGCAATCCACTCAACCCCACTTTGCCTGAAACCCCTACTGAAAAACCAAGCCTCTGCCGTCACTGACAGAGCCTGGACTCACCTGCAGGGTTAGGGTTAGCGAGGGACTGGTGCCATGTGAATTTGGTGGGCAGCTCTGATTGCCCCTGCCCCCTGCTTATTTCAATTTGTCGTCCCACAGTCACACACACACACACACACACACACACACACTCATCACCTTGAACTATTGTACATGTTTTTAGTGGTAAAGGAAAACGATGCACCTGGAGAAAACCTGCGCAGGCATAGGAGAACATTCAACCTCCACACAGAAAGGTCTGGAGGTGGAATCAAACCCAGGAGCCTTCTTGCTGATCCAAAATCCTTGAGTTTTGGATGATGTTAGATTGGTTCCTGGGTTAGAGTCAGAGTTATCCTTTCCTTTGTTGTCTTAGATTGCTATGAGCCAGAGGTGGTGGAGTCAATGGCTCAATAACGTCGTGTGTACCAAGCAGGAAACAGAGATGGGAAACAGAGTAAATGTGCAAAGAAAAATAAACATATCTATTTAGAGCATCAATTCAATTCAACACATTCTTGTATGGCCCTAAATCACAACAGCAGTTATCTCAGAGGACTTCACAAAAACCCTTGAAACCGTTGAAATCTATGACCTCGTGCAGCCGCTGGACTCAGAGGTCGGACGGGGCTCTGGTCTGGTCTCAGGCCTTTTATGCGTCCCAAACAATAACACATCCATGGCCCCAGCTGATCACTGCAGGTGTGGGAGGATCTGAACCAGGAAGAAAGGGTCTGATACATGGATCAATGTTGAAATGTCAAATGACGAAAATACACCGTGATATCTCCGTTTTTAGCTTCAATTATCTACATTTGTTTTGATTGGCAGTTCATTTGGAAGGATTTGCTCAACAAGGGGTGAAACATTATTTTTATACCACTCAAATGCACCTGGCTTTTCAAAAATCTTCTTGGTAAAGGGCAAATTGTAAGTCTTTTTCAAATGGCACTTTTTTGCAAATCACAATGCATTCTTTTTATCTAAAAGTATGTAGGAGGATTTTCAACTTCTGGCTGGATCATCAAGGCTATTGGTCCTCCCAATTGTCAATCATTCTGGTGATATGTGCTCGTCTAATAGGACCAGAGAGTTTTATTCAAAAAGTGGAGAGGGCGGTTCTTTCCGAAAATTTGGGAAAATCTTCTTATACACCTTTAAGTTTCAAGAACATTCTACCCAAGCTGATTTTGTATTTTTGTTTTCATGTTTGTATAAGATAAGATAAGAGTTCCTTTGTTCGTCCCACAGTGGGGAAATTTCTATGTTGCAGCGCACAGACAAAGTAGTAGCTATATTACTTAACTATCTGTAAATGCTTCGATATCAGTCTTTCAAAATAATATATATATATGTAGTGCAGAGTTATAAACTGTACATATAGAGCAGGATAAGAAGTAAATAAGGTAAAGTGACATTGTTCAGGGGATATTCTGAAGGAGCAGTATTGCACATGATTTAGTATTTACTTATTTACAGATGGATGACATTTGCAGACTCAGCAGTTCTCATTGTACAGTCTGACAGCAGCAGGAAGGAAAGACCTACGGAACCTCTCCTTCACACAGCGAGGGTGCACCTGCAGGTTGGAAATAAATGAATAAACAAATCCAAAGAAAAAGTGTCTGGGATTATGAGCCAACAAATAATTAGAAATGTTTAACGCTAGATTTTTAGACAAATCAAATCCAATTTAACAGACTACATCCACGGCCTCATACTGTAAACAGCAGAGATGGGTCAGCAGCAAAACTGAAGAAAAGAGAAAGAAAACATGATCCCTGGGGCGGTGCAGCCACAGTAATGCAATGGAAGTGATTCAGTGCTGTGTGCTTTAGATATAAAGTTTGTTCTGTGCACGGCGGTACGGTTATACACTCGATTCTTACAGCCTATTTAATTACCTGAGCTACCTGCTTGGAGGATTTAGGGGCTTACAACTCTCACTCGAGCGGACTGACGCTGGCACGCACACAAACCATGCATTAATTCTGCCGCCGAATGAAACTGCAGACATCGACAAGACACACACAACGCAGATTGGAGTCGCATAAAAATGAGATTAAAAGCTTTACCTCCGAGTGACATTTTGTAATCGGGTTTGCAAAACTAAAGGGTCTGTTCTTTTATGCGCAGAGTATCACGGGCCCACATCTAAAACAGATCTATGATACTATCAACTCAGTCTTTCAGTCAGTCCCAGGCCTGGATAAGCACAACTTGGATGCCAGATTGAAACAGCTGCCTGTAACAGATGTCATTCCATCCAGTTTCTGTCTCTTACCTGGAGCCGGGTCACAGTTCAAGTCAATTCAATTCAATTCATTTTAGTTTTGGTTAGGCCTAACTCACAACAGCGGTCGTCTCGGAGGACTTTCAACAACAACAGATCAGAGAATACAAACAGTTTTAACGCAGGAATGGCAATAATAACAAACTCATAATCACTATTAGTGCATAGAGCAGGATGACCATGTCCATAAATGTTGATAAATGACGATAAGATAGACATTTATTCATCCCACAGTGGGGAAATGTCAATGTTAACGTTGTGCACATTACAGCAGAATAAAAAAGTAGGAAATAAGAGCAGTCAGATTTCACACATCAAGCAGGATCTATTATTTAGGATAATAGACCTTAAAGGAGAAGTATGTGCAATCTGGCCAAAAGTGGTACTGCACTCTCCCTGGCTCAGGTTGCCAGATATGCAGACGAATCCATCCGGGACCATAATATCTGAATCAAGAGTTTTGTCAACAACAAATCTATAACCAACACCTTTTTCACAGCTGCTGGAGTCAGTGGACTGTTTGGTCACGTGTGCCTTTAGTTCAGTGACTTGTGTAGTTTTTGTTGAGAGACTATAGTTTAGATTTTGGTTCTGTCAATTACTTACTTAGTTCTATAGGTTACTTATTTTGTGTTTTGTAAACTTTTAATCCTATTCTGTTACCCCTTTTAGCAATTTTGTCATGCAAATAAATTATGATTTTAGTTTCAACCATTTCAACATTGTGGTTATAATTGTTACTTCCTTACACCTAAGCGGACCGTGTCGTAACACTAAACAAATGAATACAACAAAGTAAAACTCTGGAGCTATAAATGTACGGTTTATATTGTACTTTAGCAACAGACAATATAAATAAACATGAGTAAAAATAGCAGCAGGTAAAGTGACTGGTGAACAGAAACCTAAGAGTGGAGTGTGTGATAATGCAGAAATAATAATGAAAACGGGTGAAGTGACTTATCAGAGCAGGTGAGTGGCACGTGCACAGGCTCAGCAGTTCTCGTTGTACAGTCTGACAGCAGCAGGAAGGAAGGACCTGCTGAACCTCTCCTTCACACATCGAGGACAAGTGGGGGGTTTTGGGGGTGAGACATAACGCTTTTTTTTTTTGTCTGATCCAGTCGCCTACAGACCTGCACCAACCTCCACCAGAACAGGCAGCTTTAATTGTCCCAAAAACAAAAAGAATCCAGCTGTAGAGAGCATCTTGACCGGCTCCTTCACTGTGTGGAACGGTGCCAGCGCTGCCACCTGGCACCAGCGCAGGCATGTCAAACTCAGGCCTGTGGGCCAAATCCAGCCCGCGAGACCATTTTTCGTAGCCCCTCAAATGATTATTGCCGTGACTTGCAGCATTGATGGTCATGGGATATGGCATGTTATACTTCATTTTAAAGCTTATTTTTTTATGGGAAAACAACCATATAATTGAATCAAATGTGAACTAACATGTAATAGAAGTTAAGTTACGCCCAAGATTTATTGTTCTATATTTAACAATTAATCTTTTTTTTTTGTGTGATTGCATCCAAACTTTGTAGAACATAAAATCCAAACAAATGTCAGATAAAATGAATTTGTCAAAAAAATGATTAATGATAATAAAAGTAAACCACTTATACACATTTGGCCCCAACCTGCTCTTGTGTTTTTAAACTTGGCCCCAGACTACAATGAGTTTGACACCTCTGCTCCAGCGCATCGTGAGAGCAGCGGAGATGATCTGTGGGGCCCCTCTCTCCTGCTTTAAGGACCTGTACTCCACCCGTCTCGCTCGCAAAGCCATCAGAATGATCAAGGACCCTACGCAGCCATCACACACTCGCTTTAAAAGTACTGCCTTCAGAGGAGAGGAGACTGCAGAATCCAGCCCAGGTCCAGTCGACATCCAGGCAAGGCCCTTTGTTTTGTATAGCACAAATTCATACTCAAGGCAAACTAGATAATATAATCATAAATAATCACAGTACATTAAAGCTGCACTAACTGACTTTATTATCGTATTCATTACGAAAATGCTACCCATGTCCATGCAGTGCATTGGGATATACGTCCTTTTGAAGAAAAAGTATAACGCAGATTTTTTCTTTCGTCACATTATATTTTAGATTGAGTTTTGATGAAACAAGGAAGAGAATGTGTTTTGGGTCGCAGATTGTGACCAATCACAGCGGACCACCGGCCCCCACTTTCGTGAGAAATCTACAGGTCCGTTAGCACAGACGGCTGAGTTAGCACAACAAGCGGTGGAGCTAACCTGAAACTTTCTCGTCTTCGTCACCGGTTACTGCTTACACAGCGAAACAGCCATCCAAAAGAAAGTCTCGTTCCTCCGCGCTTCCCGGTTCTATGGTAACGCCATCCACATGCAAATCCATATTCGTGTATTATCCATATTGGGAGACGCTAGCTCCGTCTACAACAGTGGGTGTGTGTGGGGGGCGATAGCTTCGTGGGTGCGGGGAGGGGAGCAGAAAGAGAGAGGCCAGCGGGTCCGCGGCTTCAAAATCCCAAAGTCAGTTAGTGCAGCTTTAAAAAGAACGAAGCTAAAATCCTTCAGTTGTTTGCACAGCTGAACAGAACTGTTATAAACATGGATTTGAACATTGTCAGAGAAGAGCCCTGTCTCAGATTTTCACGAAAACTGTTACAGATTTCTGCATGAATCTGAAATGCAGCCTCCCCATGTTTAGTCCTGGGTCAGTGCACCAGCAGGAGGCCAGTCCCTGTGCTCCTCAGAGTCCAAGTTGGTTCATATGGGACCAACATGTCACTTACAGGCAGTAATTTATATCTAAACTATCTATTTCCACACCCTGGGCATCACCGTGGCACCGTGGTTAGCGCTTGTGCCTCAGAGCAACAAGTTCCTGGGTTCGATTCCACTTTCAGGTCTTTCTGTGTGGAGTTTGCATGTTCTCTCTGTGTCTGCATAGGTTTATTCCAGGCTCTCCGGTTTCCCCTACCACTAAAAACATGTACAATAGGTCTAGCATGAGAGACAAATGCCCACAACAATTGTACAGCGCTTTGTGACTCTGGTCTGTGAAAGGCGCTGTATAAATAAAGATTACTTACTTAAACATCAATATTCAGTTTAAATTCATTTTTGTATAGACGTGCGACATATTTGTTTGTTGCTATGATTCAGATGATGTCACACAGAGCAGAATAATGCACATCTCAGTGTGGCGCTGACAGCAGGTGCAGATGTAGTGCCAGGCATATGTTTTGCTTCTTCCAGCTCCAACAAACAGAGCTGGCACCGGAGCAGAGGGGCCGCGCCAGAGCCCAGAACACGCCAGAGCCCAGAACACGCCAGAGCCCAGAACACGCCAGAGCCCAGAACACGACAGAGCCCAGAACACGCCAGAGCCCAGAACACGACAGAGCCCAGAACACGACAGAGTGCGGATCAATCTACAGACTATGAGACGCACGGAGCTGCAGCCAACGTCATGATCGCGAGCTGACAAGTCCTGCATATGCCACCCAAGCAAAGCCGTGTATTAGCTGTCATAATACATTGGTATGGGCCATTTCACTTTAGATATACTGCGATAAATGATCACACTGAATCCATTATAGCAATCATTCCAGTTTAAAATCATTTTCAATTGGCTTCATCATTAAAAGAAAAATTCTGGAACGCATACAGAGCCGATATTAGAAATAATTAGCCAGAAAAGCAACCCTATTTATTTCAACCCTCTGCAAAACTATCCACAACTGCAATGCGATGGCCGATAGGGATGGTACAACACATTTGTATTAGGCTAAAACTAATTTTGCAGTGAAAATAAGTCAAAACTGGACAAAAACAAACCATGCTCAGCTTACTTAATTGTCAATAGAGCTGCTAGATGCTAACGGTAACCCAAGCCCCGGTGATCCAAGATGGCGCCCTATTCAAATCAAAGGGTTGTGCTCAGTGGCGCATGGGACTTCATGGAGACCAAAAGATTATCAGAACTCGCCTATGTTTGGGCATTGCCTGGTCCATGATGCGTTGCACCAAATACGTGTGTGAGGCAAGTGCACAGAGGGGCTCGGCCGCGCTTTGACCAATCAGAGCTGCTGATCAGAGCAGCGGTAGAGCGGAGCCAGAGCAGGAAGGAAACAAGCACAGTTTGATGCATTAAAATGTAGATGAAGAATAAACGTTCAGGATGACAAGGGACACTAAAATCCCCACAAAATCTGATCTTTCTGAAAGCTGTGGGTTCTTTGTCAGCTGAGGTCGAGCTGTTTTAGTTTACACTGAGTTCTATGTGACATTTTTCTGGGTGGCCCCGGTGAATTTAGTCTGCAGTACCACGGGCGCCCCCTGTGGCCATGGGTGGGACAGCAATAAGCTAGTAATACCCTATCCAGATATTATTATAGATCCATGTGGTGACCCCACTCCCATCTGTATGGAGTGGGTAACAAAATGCCCAAAAAAACAAATAGTAACGCGCTTTGTGTTTCTGTTCCGTGAAAGGCACTATATAAATAAAGATTACTTATTTCTTTACTTACCAATTATTTCAGTAGTCATCCGTTCAGCAATCTTTTTTGTTTTGTTTCAGAAATTCACCAGAAAGAATCTTGTTTAAGTAAGATTTTCTGACTATATGCAGGTGAAAACTGTTGATAGCAGCGGTTATGAGAGCGAGGAGCTAGAGCTATACATATTTTAAAACCTTCGGTAAACACGCACGGATGCTTTCTCAAATGAGTTTATGAATATCAAGAAGAATAATTTATAAACTATTTCTGTTTTTTTACTATGACCAACCAAATAGAGACTTCCTGGAACTTTCCTGTTGCTCCAACTATGGTAATGTGCGCAAATGTGTTTTTACTCTTGCAGATTTGTGTAGCAGTGAATGCCAGAAAAGTGTATCGGTTCAATTCAACTAATTTTATTTTGTTTACACGTTAACAACAGATCAGCGAATCAAACACGTTCCAACACAAGAAATACAATATCATAGGAGCCATTGGTCCATAGAGAGCGGGATGACTGTTGCACATAGATATTAATAAAAGTCCTTAAATGGGATCATCACCGTCTCGATCGTATCTATACTGGTCGTAAAATCAATACAAACATTATTTACACTACTCTCTGCCATCACGTTTGGAATCCTTCATTTCTGCTCCTGAAGCTTTACCAATCCTCTGTGATAAATAAACTCCTGCTTTTTCATGTCACTGCAAGAAGAAAAAAAAAAAAAGAAATGGTGGAAAGGCACTGATCCTCTAAAGCCGGCCATGCATCTCTGAAAATAGACGGAGGGCACACAGCGGACCCAAACCATGAACAGAGGAAATAACAGCTCGTGCAAAAACAACGGCGCAGTCTGACAGCTTTTACCTCACGAGCGCTGCCAGAGGAAAGTGCGCTGGAGCCTGTCTCTGTATAAATTATGAATTACGTCGGTGTGTGCATGCCACTGACCCGGCCATTCGTCAGGCCCCGAGAAAAGGCAGAAAACAGGAAACACATGTTGAAGCCCCGTAGATCTGCGGATTTGTGATGAAAGCGAGAAGAATGCAAAACATGTTGTGGCTGAAAATAAAAGTTAATAATGAAAGTGTTGAGGGGAAAAAACCGACAGAAATAACCTCACCTGCATGTTTGTTTTTGTTGTATAGCACAATTCGTACACTGGGCAACAAACCCAGAAAGAAACAATCACACAAGGCATTAAAGTAGTACTAGAATTTAATATGCTGCTATCCAGAATATATAACTACAATATGTGTTTATAATATTTCGGGTGTTCACCACAATGTACTTTGTAATATCCATAAATGCGAACACCTATTAACGGTTTAATTAGCATTTTTATCAATGATTGCATCACATGTAGTCTATGTTTTCAACTTCTGCAACGTTTTGTTCATAAAAGTAAAATATTTATTTAATTCAAGTTATTTTGATTAGCATTTATGGATATTACAATGTATATTGTGGTAAATAAATCTAAGGCAACCAAAGTGAGACTGGCATAATGTACAAACAAATATTAGCCTTGTTAGCATTCCATTCCATTCCATTTTCTTCCGCTTCATCCGTTGCCGGGTCGCGGGGGCAGCAGTCTAAGCAGAGACGCCCAGACTTCCCTATCCACACACACTTCCTCCAGCTCGTCCGGGGGGACCCCAAGGCTTTCCCAGGCCAGCTGAGAGACATAGTCCCTCCAGCCTGTCCTGGGTCTTCCCCGGGGCCTCCTCCCGGTGGGACGTGCCCGGAACACCTCCCGAGGGAGGCGTCCAGGAGGCATCCGGAACAGATGCCCGAGCCACCTCAACTGGTTCCTCTCGACGTGAAGAAGCAGCGGCTCTACTCCGAGCTCCTCCCGTGTGACTGAGCTCCTCACCCTATCTCTAAGGGAGCAGCCACTCTGCGGAGGAAGCTCATTTCGACCGCTTGTATCCGCGATCTCGTTCTTTCGGTCATTACCCAAAGCTCATGACCATAGGTGAGGGAGGGAACAAAGATTGACCGGTAAATCGAGAGCTTTGCCTTTCGGCTCAGCTCCCTCTTTACCACAACGGTCCGATACAGCGACCGCATCACTGCGCACGCTGCAATCTCACGCTCCATCCTTCCCTCACTCATGAACAAGACCCCGAGATACTTGAACTCCTCCACTTGAGGAAGGGCCTCTCCACCCACCTGGAGAGGGCAAGGCACCTTTTTCCGGTCGAGCACCATGGCCTCAGATTTGGAGGTGCTGATTCTCATCCCAGCCGCTTCACACTCGGCTGCAAACCGTCCCAGTGCATGTTGTAGGTCCTGGTTCGTTGGAGCCAACAGGACAACATCGTCCGCAAACAGCAGAGATGAAATTCTGTGGTCCCCGAACCGGACCCCCTCCGGCCCCTGGCTGCGCCTAGAAATTCTGTCCATGAACACAGTGAACAGAACCGGTGACAAAGGGCAGCCCAGGCGGAGGCCAACATTCACCGGGAACAGGTCTGACTTACTGCCGGCAATGCGAACACAGCTCTGGCTCCGGTCATACAGGGATCGGACGGCCCTCAGCAGAGGACCCCGGACCCCCCAAAGTACACCCCGGGGAACACGGTCGAACGACTTCTCCAAATCCACAAAGCACATGTGGACAGGTTGGACGAACTCCCATGAACCCTCGAGTATCCGATGGAGAGTATAGAGCTGGTCCAGTGTTCCGCGACCGGGACGAAAACCACACTGCTCCTCCTGAATCCGAGATTCGACCATTGGCCGTAGCCTCCTCTCCAGTACCTTGGAGTAAACCTTACCAGGGAGGCCGAGGAACACACCCTCCAGTCCCCCTTCTTGTAGAGAGGGACCACCACCCCGGTCTGCCACTCCATTGGCACCGCCCCCGATCGCCACGCGATGTTGCAGAGACGTGTCAGCCAAGACAGTCCTACAACATCCAGAGACTTTAGAAATCTGGACGGATCTCATCCACTCCCGGCGCCATGCCACCATGGAGGCTACCAACCACCTTGGTGACCTCTGCCAGAGAGATGGAAGTATCCGCCCCAACATCCTCAGCCTCTGCCTCCAGGGCGGAGGATGTGACGGGGGGATTGAGGAGAACCTCGAAGTATTCCTTCCACCGCCCGACAATATCCCCATTTGAGGTCAGCAGCCCTTCACCTGCACCGTACACAGTGTTGGCAAAGAACTGCTTCCCCCTCCTGAGGCGCCGGACGGTTTGCCAGAATCTCTTCGAGGCCGACCGATAGTCATGCTCCATGGACTCTCCGAACTCCTCCCAGTCCCGGATTTTTGCCTCTGCAACAGCCCAGGCCGCGGCGCGCTTGGCCTACCGGTACTGGACAGCTGCCTCAGGAGTCCCACGAACCATCATTGCTCGATAGGACTCCTTCTTCAGCCTGACGGCATTCCTTACTGCCGGTGTCCACCACCGGGTTCGGGGATTGCCGCCGGGACCAGCACCAGAGACCTTGCGACCACAGCTACGAGCCGCCGCATTGGCGATTGAGGCAGAGAACATGGTCCACTCGGACTCAATGTCCCCCTCCTCCGCCGGGACCTGGGAGAAGCCCTCCCGGAGGTGTGAGTTGAAAGTCCGTCTGACAGGGGTCTCAGCGAGACGTTTCCAGCAGACCCTCACTACACGCTTGGGCCTGCCAGGTCTGACCGGCTTCCTCCCCTGCCAGCGGATCCAACTCACGACCAGGTGATGATCGGTTGACAGCTCCGCCCCTCTCTTTACCCGAGTGTCCGAGACACGCGGTTGAAGGTCAGATGATACCACAACAAAGTCGATCATCGACCTCCGGCCTAGGGTGTCCTGGTGCCACGTGCACTGGTGGACACCCTTGTGCTGGAACATGGTGTTCGTGATGGACAAACCGTGACTGGCACAGAAGTCCAACAACGGAACACCGCTCGGATTCAGACCGGGCGGGCCGTTCTTCCCAATCACCCCTCTTTAAGTGTCACTGGCATTTCCCACAT